CTAATAAATGAATAAACGCGGCGGCGGAAAGAACCCAAAAATGTTTCTCCAGGCGCTGTTGGCCTCGCCTCTCTGGGTTCAGGCTTGTTCTCCGCTCGTCTTTTCATTTATTTGTTTTAATTTATTTTTTTAATTTTTTTTTTTTTCCTCTTGGTGGGGTTTGTAATTTTATTTTTTATTTCCTCCCCCCACCTTTCTCTTGACCCGCCGCGCGCGCCGCACCCCCTAAAAAAAAAAAAAAAAAAAAGGGAAAAAAAAAAAAAAAAAAAAAAAAGGAAATAAAATAAAATAAAATAAAAAAACCGGCGAAGCTGCGGAGAAAAATGCGGATTTTCCGCCTCTGGGCGCGGCTGGGTGTTGGGGAATATCCGCAGATCGGAGATTTGAAATTTGGTTTTTTTTTCGTGGGGGAAAAACCAGAGCAGGACGCGCTTAAAGCGATGGTTGGGAGCTTTAATTGCGGCTCGGAATTTATTGCGCGCCCGCGGTAGCTCCAGCGCTGGAGGAATTCGGACACGGGGGGGACGCGAGAGGGGGCAGAGGCACCCGAGCAGGTAAAAAACCCCCGCAGCGGAATTTTCCCGGGAAAACGGGGGATTTCGGTACCTCCGTGGCGTTTCCGCGGCGGTTTCCAGCGGGCAATTGTTGTCCCGGGGAAGCTTTTCCGTGGAATAAATGTGATTTTGGTTTTTATTTTCCTTTATTTTTGTCGTTTTGTTTTTCCGAAGGGTTTTAAGCCGGGAGGGAAAGGCAGCGCCAGATCCGCGGATGGCCCGAAATTGGTTTTTTTCCACCCGCATTTCTTCACTCCGAGAGACAATCCCGGGATAATCAAATATTCCGCCGCCTCTGGTGCATTGCGGGCGATTTCCCCTTTTTTGGGGTTTTTTTAAGGAAAGGAGGGGAGGAGGAGGAACAAAAGGGAGCGAGCGAGAACTTGGGCAGGAGGAGAGGAGAGGAAGGGAGGAAAAGGGACAAAGAGAGGCAGGAAAAGGGAATTTTATTCGGGGTGAAGGTTGGCAAAGCGGCCCTGGGGCTGCAGCGGGCAGATCCGCCCTCCCCGAGCGCCGATTTGGGGGAAAATCCGGATTTCGGGGAAAACCCGACCTTGACTGTGGGAATTGAACCGCGGCTCCGCGCGGGGATTTGGGAATTTGGGCATTTGGGATTTGGGAATTTTGTCCCTCCTCCCCGCAGTTCTCCGGGGGTCCCGAGGGGTTTGGGGACCCCCCTGGGAAAAGAGGAAATCTCCGAACCTCCCCCCAAATCCGGGACGGCTGCGGCTGCCTCTGCAAAAAAGGTGATTTTTAAAAAATCCCAAAAATAGCTAAAAAGGCAAGAAATCCCCCCAAAAGCAGCGGCAGCCTGTCCACGAGCGGGTTCATTCATTTTATTTTCCTGTTTTCCACCTTCTGCCCTTTTTCCTTCCTTTTAAAATTTGAATTTATTTTAAATTTTAATTTATTTTTCTTAGGGTTATATTTTTGTCCCCGTTCCTCCCAATCAAGGCAGCATTTCTCAGAGCGGATGCAGAAAATTTGGAAGCGAGAGGGAAGATTCCGGCTGGGGAAAAATTTTTGAGGCGCCAGGGCAGGATTTGAGCTCCAAAAAGGTGCCAGAAGTGGCCAAGACGGGGCTCAGACAAAGGCTGAATTTCCCGTAACCGCACCTCCGCTCTCCTTCCTATTTATTTTTATTATTATTATTATCATTATTTATTGTTATTATTTTATATTCGAATTTTTTATCTCCGCCAGGAAATAATAAATCTCCAAACCCTGAGCTGAGCTCGCTCCGCGCTGTCGGAGTTTTCTTTCCCCCCCCACCGCGGATTCCAGAGCAGGGAAGGATCCGGGATTTGCCAATTTCTCCCTCAATTCCCAGGAATATCCCCCAAAACCGTGGAATCCCAAAGCCGGAATTCCAGCCGGGAAAGGGGAACATTCCCGGGGCTCCCCCCAGAACTTCGCCCCCTCCCAGGGCGATGCTTTCACCTCCTTTCGGGGGAAAAAAACCCAGATTTTATAGGGATTTAATATAGATTTAATGGGGATTTTATAAGGATTTTATAACAATTTTATAGGGATTTTATAGAGAGAGGGGGATATTTTCTTGGGGGGGTTCCCACTGCGGTGAATTTTATGGGGCTCCCCATCGTGGTGTGGGATTTGGGGGGCAAAACTCTGCCTTAAAACGCGTTTTTATACCCCAAACCGAGTCTTTCGCCTGTCTTTAACCCCAAACTCGCCGTTTTTCGCCCCAAACCCGCGTCCCCCGCCTCCAAGCCGAGGCTTTAAGGTGAAGCGTCCCCGTCCCCGCTTTGTGCCGCTCCCTCCTCCGCATCCGAGACCTCCAGGGGGATTTTTATTAAAAAAACCCTTCCCCACCCCACTCAGGAGGAGGGAGGGGGTGAACAAATCCCGGTTTTTTCCACGTGGAAATCCCAGGAATCGGCGCCTTTGTGTGACACCGGCTCCATCCCGTGACCTTGCCTGGCCGCGCCGGGCTCCGAAATCCGCCCCGAGCCGCGGCTCGGATCCTCCCCGGAGCTCTCCCGGCGGAATTCCCGGATTCCCGGCGGAATTCCCGTTTTTTTCCCCGCTCTGAAACCCTCCCGGAGCTCCCGATCCCGCTCCGGGGTTCGCTTCCCCCTCTGCCTCCTTCTCCTTCCTCCCCTCTCTGCCTTCCCCGAGCCGCTTTTGTCAGGATTCCTCCTCAAAATCTTCCCCTGGAATGGGGAAATCCCGGCCGGCTTTTGTCCCCCCACGCTCCTCTCCGCTTGGAAAATGCGGGGAAATAAAAGAAAAATGAGGATATTCCGATTTTTGTTTAACTCCTCGTCGAGATAGAAATCCCGGCGAGTGGAGGCCGGGGATTAACGGGAAAATGGGGCTCGGGAAAGGCCACGGAGGACGCCCGGACCTCGGGAATATTTTCCTTTTTTAGGACTCGCAGGAGGCTCGGAGCGCAGCCAGGGAGAAATTCGGGTGGGGGGCAGCGAGGCGAGGACTTCTTTCGGGGAGAAAATCCGGAGTTTCCCCGCAGAAATTCGTGGTTTTAGCTGAAAATCCCGTTTTTCCCAGCAGCTCTGGGATATCCATTCCAATATTTTTTTTTTGGGGGGGTTTTCCGCGGGGTGAGGTGCGGGGTTTGCGCTGGGGGAGAGATTTGGAGGGGTTCGGGGGGGATTTTCCTCATTTTGGGCTCATTTTGGGCAAATTTGGGGCTTTTTTTCTCCCCGTCCCTGCATCTCGATTTTCCTCAGCCCTCTTCTGCTGCTGCTCGCGTCCCTCGCGCAGCCCAAACGGGGGGAAATGGGTGAAAATCGGGGGTTTTTGGGTGTGTGGGGCTGGGGCAGAGCCGCTCTCAGCAGTGACATTGGGGACACCCCCCTTGCTCCTCATTTTTCCCTCTCCTCCCTAAATTTCCCCATTTCCCTCCCAGCTTTAGGAAACCCGAGGGGATGCAGAACGCAGATTTTTTTTTTTTTAATCAGAGTTTTTTGGTTTTTTTTTAATAAAATGCGGAGATATAATTTTTAAAGGGATTTTTATTTTATTTTATTTTATTTGCTTCCAAATAAATCGCCCGAGTCCCTTTTTCCTTTTTTTCTTGGGACTGCGCAGGGCGGGAGCTCCTCACCTACCTGTCTTTCCTTACAAAAGCAAGGTTATTCCCTCAAAACGCAGCCAAGCATTTTTGAACGCTCCCGACTCCTCTGGTGGAGAGTAAAATAATAATAAAAAAAAAGACACAGAAAAATAAAACAAAACAAAAAAAATAACAAACCCAGAAGTTTCCAGGCGTCTCACAAAAAAAAAAAAAAATTAAAAAATAAAAATTAAAAAGGCAAAAATAAAAATAGCAAGCTCATGTGCCCAGCACGCGTTGCTGCTTCCTCCGTCCCCCCCGAGCTCCCCGAGCTGCAAACTCCGTCCTGCGCTTTTATTTAATGAACGACACATTTATGAACAATCAAATGATCCTCGTAAAAATTTTATTGAAGGACATAAAAAACATCCCCGGCTCCTCCTCGCCCAACACCGCAGCCTCTGCCTTGCGAAAGCTCAGCTTTCCCCTTATTTAGATTTTTTAATTTTTAATTTTTTTTGGGGGAGGATGGAGGAGAGGGTTGCTTATTATTATTATTGTTATTGTTATTATACACCCCTTCCTCCTTTTATTTTTTGTTTTTTCTTTTTTTGTAAAGCCGTCCGGAATGATCCATAATTTTATTTTCTGGCTGCTGGAGAAGCTCCTGGCTCGGAGCGGATCCCTGAGCAGCCCTGGCGAGGACACAGCGCTGCCAAAGATGACAAAAGCCGCTTTTTTCCCCTTTTCGGCTCCGAGCTCCTCTTCCCCCCCTCTCCGCTCCCCTCCGCGGCTGCGGGCGGGGGTCCCACCTCCCCGAAATTCGCTTTAATCCCCCCGGGGAGAGAGGACAGAGATAAATTGCGTCGAGAAATAGTTCCTGGGCCACCTTCCACAATTACCTTCCACCTTCCCTGCCTGTCGCTCGCAGCCTCGGGCAGAATCTCCCCCCTCCCAGCCCGCGGGGCTGAGCATCCCCGGCCGCCGAGCCGAGCATCCTCCTCCTCCTCCTCCTCCTCCTCCTCCCCATCTCCGCCCCCGTTTCCAGCCGCTTTTTTTATTTTTTTTTAAGGAAAAGCCGGGCGGCGTTATTAGATTACCAAAAAAAAAAAAAAAAATTGTTATAACTATGGATACATGTAATTTAAAATCTTACCCAGACTGAACTTTGATTATCTGATGGCAACTGGTGGTGGCATTAGTTGTGTAANAAAAAAAAGAAAAAGCCCTGCGGATTGATCCGGGCGATATTTTTGGGTAAATACAATCACGTGAGGCCGGCAGCCAATGGCGCGGTGGGAACGGCTGAAAAAATAATTACCTGCCCTGATTGTTCTATGAGCAGATAAAAAGTACACATACACTTCATACAATAATCCGATGAATGTAAAAGAGGGGGCGAGCGAACCATGTCGGCTTCGGGCCCCATCAGCAACTACTACGTGGACTCGCTGATCGGCCCCGACAACGAGGAGCTGCTCGCCCCGCGCTTCGCCGGCCCCGGCGCCGCTCGCCCCGCAGCGCTGGTGCCCGACTGCGCCGACTTCCCCTCGTGCAGTTTCGCCCCCAAACCCGCCGTGTTCACCACCTCGTGGGCGCCCGTGCCCTCGCAGCCCTCCGTGGGCTACCCGCACCCCGCGGGCCCCTACGGGCCGCAGGCGGCCGAGCCCAGGTACGTGCGGACCTGGCTGGAGCCGCTGGCCGGGGCCGTGTCCTTCCCGGCCTTCGGGGCTCGGCCCTACGGGCTCAAGGCGGACGCGTTCGGGGCTCCGCGCAGGGCGGAGTGCGGCCCCGCCGACGGCCGCGCCTACGCGGATTTCGTGTACGCGGCTCCCGGCGAGCTGCGGGAGCGAGCGGCGCAGAACATCCCGTCCTCCCCCGAGTCCGAGGCCATCGCCGCCGGCAAACACAAAGAAGAAAAGCACGAATTAGACCCCAGTAAGTCCAAGTCATTCTTGTTTACGACCGCGGAAGGCATTACGGCTTCCAGGACCCCACTCAATAAAATGAAATTACCTTAGAGAGAGAGAGAGGAGAGGGGCAGAGCGCGACCCTAAAACTCCAGAGCCGCAGGAAGGTTCTGGGGGTTTCGGCGAGTCCACTTTGTTTTGGGCTCTTTGGGGTTTTTTGGAAATTTTTAATCCCCCTTTTATTCTTCTTTATTTTTCCCTTTTTTTCTTTCTTCTCTTTTTTTAATTACTCCGCTGACGGGGCTGCTTCGACCCCCCCTCCCATTTAAATTAAACCAATAATAGCAATAATAATAATAACAATTAATAACTGTAGACGCAGAGTGCGCGTTGTGCGAGAGGGGAGAGTGAAGCAGAGGGAGAAGCGTCTTCGGCTCCCAAAAATTCATTCCCACTTTCCAGGAACAAGGAAGAGTTTGGGGATGCCTGGGAGCGAGCGCGCGGATGTGGGGGTGGATTTTGGGGTTTGTTTCTTCATTTGTTTTGGGGAGGGGAAGGGAACATCTCAGGGTGAACGCAGAGGCGCCCCTTTATCTCCTGGAAAAATCAATAAAAGCTCCGGGGCGCGGTTATTCCTGAATTATTCCCCCCCGAAAAAAACCCCAAAAATCCTCCACGTGGGAATGAAGGGAAAGGTGAAGCCTGGCGAGGGGGGCGAGGCAGGAATGAGGAGAAAAATCGGGATTTTAGGGCCAGCTGAAGGGCAGGAGGCGGCGAGCGCAGGAGCTGCTGAGGAGGGAGGGAGAACTTTAAAAAAACCCAAAATGCCCCAAAAAACCCCAAAACGCAAGGCGGGAATCAGCAAAACCCCGAATTTTCCCAGGGGCAGCGAGCAGGTAACGGCCGCTGCGGAGAGAGCGAAAATCGCCTGGAATCGCCCCAAAAACGCGGCCGAGGGCAGCCGGGGACGCTTTTGGGGCGCTTTTGGGGGGTTTTGGGCGCTTTTGGGGTGTTTCGGGCGTTTTTGGGGGTTCGGGGCTGGCACCCCCGGGCCGCCGCCCGCGGCTCTGCCGTGCCAGGCGGGCCGGTGCCACCCGCGCTGGGAAATTGGGGCTGCGAAAACCTCCCCGGGCTGCCCAAAACGCCCCAAACCACCCCAAAAACGCGGCCGGGCGGAAACGCCGCGGCCCCGCACCCGCGGCGTGAAAACGCCCTTGAAAAAACCAAATGAAAACCGGCAAAAGAGCCGAAAATAACCCAAGAATAACCCCAAAAATCCGATTTTCGCGACGCCCCGCGTGTCATGCCGGAGATATTAAAAAAGCCAAGGCGGCTTTGCAGGTCCGGGAGAGCTTCTGGGGAAAGTCTTGGCGAGCTGAGGTTGTAAAAAGAGTTTATGGGCCTATGAAATGGTGGGAATTTTGACTTTTTATGACTTGTTCCTCGATTACCGCCAGCAGCAACAGCAGCAGCAGCAGCAGCAGCCATGTGGATCGTTATTATTATTATTATTATTAATAATATTATTATTTTAAACCCGGCGCGCCGCTTTTATTTTTATTTTTTATTATTGTTGTTATAGATAATTTTTATTTTTACTAAAGTTAAAAAAAAAAAAAAGTGAGAACGGCAGAGAAAGGAGAAAAGGAAGTGACCCCCTCCAAAATAAACAGATTAAACCCTTGTGAAGGTCACTTAAAATATTTAGGTAAGAGCTGCTAATTAAACAGGTTCTGGCTGTAGGGCGTGGAGGGGGGAGGGAGAAATTAATAATAATAATAATAAAAAAAAGGCCAATTTTGTACATTGGTTTTCCCACCCCCCAAAAAATTACAAAAAATTATTTAAAAATATTCAAAAAATTAAAAATACCACCATATATACATATATATAAAAATCTTCTTTCTCAGACAACCCCGTGGCAAATTGGATTCACGCGCGCTCCACGAGGAAGAAACGATGCCCTTACACAAAATATCAGACCCTGGAACTGGAAAAAGAGTTTTTATTCAATATGTACCTCACGCGGGACCGGAGGTACGAAGTGGCGCGGGTGCTGAACCTCACGGAACGCCAGGTCAAAATCTGGTTTCAGAACAGGCGAATGAAAATGAAGAAAATGAATAAAGAGAAAAGCGATAAGGATCAGCAATAATAATACAAAATATAAAAATATAAAAATAATAAATTAAAAAAAAAAAAAAAAAAAAAAAAAAAAAAAAAAAAAAAAAGAAAAAAAAAAAAAAAAAAAAAAAAAAAAAAAAAAAAAAAAAAAAATAAAAAAAAAAAAAAGAAAAAAAAGTTTGGCGGAGAGAAACGAGGGTGGAGAGGGAAAAAGCAACAGCGGGGGGAAAAAGCAGGGGAAAAAAAGGGGGAAAAAGGGGAAATAATAAAAAAAAAAGGGGTGAAATGTTTCTGACTTTGAATGTGCGGATGAATGTTTAGCGGTAGAGGTTTGGGGACTCGAGGCTTTTCTAAAATGCGACTAAAATCAGAAAAAAATTAATGAAATGTGCCCGGGGGGGGTTTGGTTTTCTCTTCCTTTCTTCCGCCTTGCTCTGCCCTCAGCAAAAGCGGCACGAGAAGTACTTGAATTTTTATTTTGCTGTTTTTTATTATTATTATATTTTATGTCCTAAATTAAAACCTCATCCAGTATTTTGAATTTTTTTTTTCCTGATTTTTTTTTTTTAATC